GTGGCTGCGCAAGGAGGACTTTGCGCGGGTGCTGGACGTCAACCTGCTGGGGCTGGTGGACGTGACGCTGGCCATGCTGCCCATGGTGCGGCGCGTGCGGGGCCGCGTCGTCAACGTCTCCAGTGTCATGGGCCGCGTCGCCTGCGTCGGCGGTGGCTACTGCCCCTCCAAGTACGGCGTGGAGGCCTTCTCGGACAGCCTGCGGTGCGTCCCGCTCGCGGCGCCCGGCCCCGGCGCCCCGGTACTCCTGGGGCTTTGGCGGAGCCCCCCTTGGCCCGGTGCCCGTGGAGGGCCCCCGTGCAGCCGCGCGGCTCCGCTCTGCAGGCTGGACATGCGGCCCTTCGGCGTCAAGGTGTGCGTCATCGAGCCCGGCTTCTTCCGCACGCCGCTCACCGACCCGCACGGGCTGCAGCTCCACGTGCGCGACGCCTGGGAGCGGCTGCCCGAGGAGACGCGGGCGGCTTACGGCGACGGCTTCTTCCGCAGCCGTGAGTGCAGCGCCACGCACCCCGTGTCCCCGGGCAGCACCATGCACCCCACGTCCCCGGGTAGCCCCATGTCCCCAGACGGTCCCGTGTTCCCCGCGTCCCCAGCCAGCCCCACACGCCCCCCGTCCCCGGCCATGCAGCCTCACGGTGCCCACGTGTCTCGTTTGAGAGACTGAGTTGGGCCTGTTTAGCCTCAAGAGGAGAAGGCTGAGAGGGATCTGATCAACATGTGTAAGTTCMTGGAGGGGGAATGGAGGGAGGAAGGGGCCAAGCTCTTCTCAGTGGTGGCCAGGGACAGGACAAGGGGCAATGGGGACAAACTGCRACCCAGGCAGCTCCATGTCCATGTGAGGAGGAACTTGTTTGGTGTGAGGGTGCCCGAGCCTGGCACAGGCTGCCCAGGGAGGCTGGGGAGGCTCCTGCTCTGGAGATCCCCAAACCCGCCTGGGTGCCACCCTGTGCTCTGGGTGTCCCTGCTGGRGCAGGAAGGTTGGACTAGATGATCCCTRGAGGTCCCTTCCWACCTCATYGACTCCGTGATCCCGYRGTTKTGTCCCCACAGTGCTCCGCTCCCTGCAGGAGCTCCCCACGTCCTGCAGCGCCGACCTCTCCCTGGTCACGGACTGCACGGAGCACGCGCTGACCAGCCRCCACCCGCGGCACCGCTACGCGGCCGGCTGGGACGCCCGGCTGCTCTACCTGCCGCTCAGCTACCTGCCCTCGGCCTGGCAGGACTGGCTGCTCAGCCGCTCCTACCCGCGGCCCGCGCGCCCGGCGCTCTAGGTGCCCGCGAGCCCCCAAGGGCGGCTCCTTGGGCTCCTTCAGCGCTGGGGCCCGGTTCTGTCCCCACGCTGGATGTTGGGGTTCGATGGGTGAATAAAGCAGCAGGAGCCCACGGGCCGGGCATCCCTTCCTCCTGTGCGCGGTGACTGGGTGGCCGCGGCCTCTGCCCAGGGTGTCCCGGGGCCGCCTTCTGCTCCAGCTGCTGCAGATGCAGGGGTGCAAGCCCAGGGACAGCTGCTCCCTGCTGCAGATCCAGATGTTCCCTTGCTGCAGATCCAGCTGTGCCACCCCATGGCCAGTTGCTCCCCTGCTGCAAATCCCCATGTTCTCCAGCTGCAGATCCAGCCGTTCCCCTGCTGCAGATCCAGCTTTTCTCTGCTGCAGATCCAGCTGTGCCTTCTGCTGCAGATCCCCATATTCCCCTGCTGTGGATCCCCATATTCCCCTGCTGCAGATCCAGCTGTTCCCCTGCTGCAGATCCAGCTGTGCCGCTGCCCCCGTGCAGCCGCGCAGCGCGCTGGCTCCGCAGGCAGTGGGAGGGCGCTGAGCTTTGCCCCACGCAGCTCCCCGCCCGTGCGGAAGGGACAGGGATGATCCAGCCCCTCGGGCTCCCGGGAGCTTATCCGGGCTGGGCCTGGGCGCGGAGGCGGCAGGGCAGGAGCTGCTGTGGGGCAGGGCTGTCCAGAGCCGCCTTGGGGCCCCTCAGCCGCCCGCAAGTGCCACTGTGTCCCAGTTGCAGCGGAGGTGGCAGCCCAAGCTGGGCCAGCAGCAACAGCTCCAGAGCAGAGAAAAGCCGGGGCCGAGTTTTGTGGACTGGGGAGCAAAGGAGAGCCCAGCGGAGCGGGTTGTGCAAGCGCCAGGCTCTGCACCACCCAAGCAAACAGCTGCCAAGGCCGAGCGCAGCTCCAGGCACCCTGCTCGGTGCAAATCTTTCAGGACGTGCAATCAAGGCGTGCAATTAAATGAAAGATCCAGCAGCTCAAACCCTCCTCTCCCGGGAGCAGCTGCTTGCAGCGATTTGTGCTGCAGCGGCCAACGCAGGGCTGCAACAGAGCCGGCTCCTATTTAAGCGGCAGGTCCGAGSGAGCGGGATACGCTGCCGGATCCGGCCGAGCGGAGCAGCGCGGTGCCGCCAGCCCCAGGTAACCCCGGGTTTGTGCCCTGRCACCCACAGGGACAGAGCATCGAGGAAGACGCTGCTCCAGCGGGAAGGCTGCAGCAGGGGCCTAGGAGAGACCAGAAACCCCTGGCTTGGGGACGTGCAACAGCAACCGTCAACAGTGACGCTGCAGCAGGTGCCCAGGCTGCCTTTAACCCGCTGYATTTTCCAGCGTCGACTCGGTGGCCCCAGGCGGGACAGTCCCTGGAGCCAGGTCACCCGCCGGGATGTGGCTGCTGCTGGCGGCGCTGGCCGCGCTCTGGCTGCTGCGCCGCTGGCACCGCGAGCGGCAGCAGGTGGCCGGCCTGGGCGAC